GAGCATCTTCTAGAGGCTGAATATGAATTAAACTGAACCAAAAGCTCATCACTGGGTGACATTAGCTTATTAGCAGATGTTCCCTAAACGCCTCACATGGAGGTTACATCTGTCCAGATGTTGTTTGCTCAACAGTTGATCCATAAATCTGCGTATCTTTAGATCCAGAGGCAGGAAGGCGAGCCACATGGAGGCTAGAGGAGGAGCTGACGGGCCGTGGATCCTCCACATGGACGGTTTCTAAAAGGTTTAACGAAGGATTTCTCAGGAATACAAGCAGATGTTTGGTCGTACCTTGCAGCGGCAGGATGTTGACGCTGAAGTCCTCCAGCTGACTGAGGGCGCTGATCAGGTCCAGCTCCTCCTGGACGCTCGGAGGACAGTCGGAGATCAGCTGGAGACACGCCCTGATAGAGACCAGAACCAGTTAGAGGAGAACAACGGCCGGAGACATCAGGAGGAACATCAGCACCTCTCCAGGACTAGTCCATTATTTATAACAGCAGGAGGAACAGAACACCCCCACGTCTTGGTAAGTTTGGACTGGTCCAACCTGATGGAGGCTGTTTGGTCCCATTTATTTGAAGAACGTTTACTGGGAGTCAAACTGATAAAACGACAGAAAAGACTCAACAGATTACTCAAAACGACAACAAAGAGAGTCTAAGAAACACAAAGACACAGAAAAAAACATCACAAAGAGAAGCAAAATGGACAAAAATAGATGCAAAGACACATAAAGACAAACTGAATTATTTAAGAGAGACAAACAAGCACGAAGACGCTCAAAAAGAGGCACAAATCAATCACAGAGAGACAGAAGTGAAAACAAAACCGTGAACACACAAATACAATCACCTCCTAAAAACACAACAGAGACGCAAAACGAACACAAAGAGATGCAAAAACCAATTCAAACCAAAAAATAAGGAACAAAACAGCAGCAAAGAGACACAAAAACACCACAAAGACGAACAAAACTAGTCAACACAAACACCAAGAATCACAAAACAGCAACAAACGCAAACAGATAAAACCACCTGTGGATCAAACATGGCTGCAAAGAGACACATAACCAATAAAACATAGATGCAAAACAACCACAAAGAGACAATAATTACACAAAACGAATACAAAGAGCCACAAAACTGGAACAAAAAGACCAGAAAGTGACACGAATCAGCCACAGAGAGTCAGAATCAATCCTGACATGAGGTTTAACTGATAAAACAACAAGAAAACAACAGAAAACTCCTCAAAAACACAACAAAACCACAAGAAACAGTGAATTCTTTCTTTTTTTTCCCCGAACTTGTTCACAGCAAATGTTTATTTAGTTGTTTTTCTTTAATGCCGACACAAACACCAAAGTGATTTTCATGAAATATCAAGTTTTTAAACTTAAATTTGGTGATTTTTTTTCCAGCAGAACAACAAATCACAGATGAGCAGTTCATGAACCGTGGGAAAGTAGAAAATCCAACACAGTTTTTTTTTATTTGCAGCTTCTGGCTCTAATAAATTCTGTCATTTGGATTTAAAAAAAAAAAAACTTTCAAAGTCGCCGTCTCTTCCAGAAATCTACAAACTCGCTAAAGTTCTTGGAAATGAATCTGCAGAAACACGATTAACTGGGACTGAACGTGTCAGACTTTATACGAGCTGTTGGACTTAATGAAAGTAAAATAATCACTTTCTGTCAGTTTAATCTGCACAAACCGAGCCGACTTGTCGACTAATAGAGAAGGAAGGACTCAGCGTGCTTCGCTTATTTCTGCACGTTTCAAAGTTGCAGCGAAAAGCGACTCTGACGCCTGAAGTTTGATCAGAAACGCGGCGAAGCTCCTCGCACGGATTTATTTACAAAGTCTAGACTAATTAACCGGCTCGACAACAGGGGAGTTTCTCTCACAATGCCGTCCACACTCATTACCCTTAATAGGATTATGCAGCGCGTCACGTAGCGCCTGTAACCGAGCGCCGCTCTAAACCGGGAGTTTCTGTGGAGCAAAAGGAAAATAGAGCAGCAAACTAATTAATTTACAAACAGCACAAATCCCAGATAAAACAACAGCTTAGAGAGCAGATCTGACGTCAGCCCAGTGCAGAGGAGGAGCGCGTCCTTGGGAGCTCTTCTCTCGTAATCCACATCTTAAAAAAAGTCGAGAACACGCCGCGAAAAGCACTCGACGGAGGCGGCGGCTCTCCTGGCCGGGAACAAGAGGTTTGTCCTGGCGAGGACGAGGAGATCTGTGGACGGCGATTATGTGCTCGGCGTGCCGTCGAGTGTCTGCAGCGTGTTTGTGAGTCAGCGCAGACGTTTTGTGTTTAAGGGCAGCGCTGTGATTTACAGATTAGCTGCTTTGTGCTAAACGAGTGTCGGCGCCTGGACGGCAGACATCAAAGCAGAGACCCGGGCCTTCTTCATCCTCTGGGTTCTCCTCGTTTCTGTGGCATTTCTTAAGAGATGAGCTCCTCTAAAGGACAGAAACATGTTAGAACGGCTTAAAACTGTCAACGATGGCAAAGAAAATGCCCCAAAAGGACCAAAGGGTGATGTCCACAACACTTCTACTATTATGTCCAAAATAACTCGACAACGAAAAGTTCAAATGGCTCAAAACCGAATCAAAACTTCCCAAAATGGCAAATAACCATGTTAAAATAGCATAAAACTGTCAACGATGGCGAAGAAAATGGCCCAAAAGAACCAAAGGGTGATGTCCATCGCACTTCTATGTTGTATTATGTCCAAAAAAACTCAACAACGAAAAGTTCAAATGGGTCAAAACCAAATCAAAACTTCCCAAAATGGCAAAAAAACATGTCAAAATAGCCTAAAACTGTCAGCAATGACAAAAAGATGTCCTAAAAGACTCAAGAATTGCCCAAAATTTACTCAGAAAATGCCCAAAAGAATCAAAGGGTGACGTCCAAAACACTTACACATTATACTATGTCCAACAATTGTCAAAAATGACAACGATATGATTAAATGGGTCAAAACCAAATCAAAACCCAAAATGGCAAATAAAGCATCAAAATGGTGTGAATCTGTCCAAAAAGACTGAAAGCTCATGAAAATTTCAAAAAATAACTGCAAATATCTCTAAAACAACCCCAAACATATCCAGAACCACACAAGAAATGTTAAAAAAATAACCAAAACTTATTGAAAAGGACTCAAAAACTCCCAAAAATGATTTTTTAAAAAGTCCAGATGATGTAAAATGTATTCAAAATGACTTGAAATTCACATGATCTTATTCAGAAAACACCTAAATTGCCAAACAATGGCTCAAAACTTGAACAGAATGATGTAATAATTGTTCACAATTACAAAAAAATGTCCAAAACAACTCAAAGTGTATCACGCAAAAATGTCAAAAAGACAAATCTTTGTCCAAAAATGGCTTAAAACTGTGAAAAAAGAGTCAAGAACTGTCTAAAATAAGCTGAAAATACGATAAAAATGACCTAAAAGTTCATGAAAACTTACTTAAAACATGTTTAGATGACTAAAAAACGCACAAAATGACACACAAAGGTGATCAAAATGACTCCAGAAATGTCCAACACAAGACAAAAACACGTCCAGAATCCAGAATCACACCTGGACGGTCGACACGTGTTCAGCAGCCATGAATCCAGCTGCACAGACCTTCTTTCAGTTTTCATTTCTGCAGACGCTCCGACTAAATCCTGCCAGTCGAGCTCCTTCAGCAGCAGCAGAATGAATCATCTTCTTTGGGCTTATTTCTGAGTTTTTCTTTTCATTCCTTTCCTGAGTAATAGTCGTTGAAAAGCGTTCGTCCTTCCGCTGAGACGGTTTGACGACTTCTTCATCCGTCGGCAGCTAAACGGAGGCTAAACGGAAAGTTGAGCTCAGAGGCAGGAAAACGTCACCGAATTACTGAAACAAAGGATGGAAGTAAAACACGCTGGCTGAAGGTATTTAAATAAAGATCGTAATAAACCTTAAAGCTGATGTTCCCTGAACGCCTCAAAGTCGCCAGTAGATGCTGCAGTTTATAGATGTTCCCTAAACGCCTCAAAGTTGCCAGTAGGAGGTGCAATTTCTGGATGTTCCCTAAACGCCTCAAAGTGATCAGTAGATGCTGCAGTTTCACATTGTTCCCTAAATGCTGCAGTTTCTGGTTGTTCCCTTAAAGTCTTGCAGTCGCCAGTGGATGCTGCAGTTTACAGTTGTTCCCTAAACACCCCACAGCCATCAGTAGGCGCTGCAGTTTCTGGTTGATCCTTAAATGCTGCAGCTATTGGTTGTTCCCTAAACGCCTCACACTTGTCAGTAGATGCTGCAGTTTACAGATGTTACCTAAACGCCTCAAAGTGATCAGTCGGCGCTGCAGTCTACAGATGTTCCTTTAAAGTCTTGCAGTCGCCAGTGGGTGCGGCAGTTTCCAGTTGATCCCTAAACGTTGCAGCTGCCAGTTGTTCCCTAAACGCCTCACACACAAAGAAGCTTCTAGACTCCATCAGTTCCTGCAGCAGCTCAGAGACCAAACATTGGTCTGAAAACAGTGAAATAAGGAGTTTTAATGTCAGATTTACCTGAAACCAGGTGGTTTTATCGATGCTGCTGCTTTGTTTTGTCATTTTTAATTCAGTAAATCTGCAGAAACCAACACAGTGGAAGTTAGAGTGCTCTGACGGTGTTTGCCGCTGCACCTTTCATACGACACACAGTAATCTGATCCCCTGAGACGATAAAAACATTGATTCCTACAGTCTGAAACTTGTTTTTTAGGTCTTTAAGGACCTGCTGCTGCTGGTGGTCTCAGGTTCAGCTCCAGTGCTGTGGATCAGCGGTGGAGGGGATCCCCGGGTTATTTCAGGACGGTCTCTTTGTCCTTGAGTGAACTCTCACCTCCTCCAGTCGGGTTGTGAGTCTGTCCGAGTGCGTTTGTGCGTCCAGCGTTTAGTCCGCAGGATGACATGTGTGTCTGTGGAGCAGTTATTTTGATCCAAAGGACACCGTGTGTGTGGATTATTAATTCAGACTCGCAGTGGGAGAGTCACAATGGATGGTGTTGTCCGGCGGTGTGGAGGGGGGCCTCGCCGTTCGTTACTATAAATGAGTGACGACCCAATTACTGTCCCACTTCCCCACCAGGAGCCGAGCCGAGGTTAGAACCAGCAGCCCCCCGCCGGGCTCCCACAGCA